TATATATATATATGGTGCCTACTGACAGATGCAAATAGAAAAGAAGAGTGAATGTGAAATCTCGGCTTCAGAATATGTACAGAGGAATAACATTCAATAGCTGATGACTAGTACACAGCTGTTTTGTCGTCTGGGTCGAGTTTCTTAATATTCGTATATCGGAACTCAACAAATTTTTAACGAGGTATTTTGATGATACATCCGGATCTTTTCCTGTGAGCTGCATAGGACACCACGGTGACCTGGTTGTTTGCCTTGCATGTGAAGTTGGCATCTAGCGACACAAAAACTGTGTTCTAAGTCAAACTAATGAGTGGGTGAAGTATGACGTGACAGAAAAGTTTCAATGCTTCTGTGCTGTCTCTCTTCCAAGACGAGATACGCGTGATCATCCCGGTGTTCGGCAGGAGGGGTTGCAAAATATGGTCGCTAGATGATGTCAGTAACATTCAGGCGGCAGTCTTCATCCACGTTGTCTCAGTTATTGCTTGTGGGCTTAGACACCTCAGATGTTTGCGGTGGGCTGGCGCTAGGCATTTATGTTCTCCGTGTCTTGCTTTCCGTTTTCTACGTTGGGCTAAATCTAGATAAACTGACTTGATTGTGCGAAAGTTGAGCACTAATTTTCTAGCCAATGACGATAACGGAGAAGTATTTGTTGGGCTTTAAGTTTTCGAAAGGCATAAATGTAAAGCATCCCTTCCGTAGAACGCTACCTTCCTCAACTTTTCCAACAGTTTTATCGAACGGTAATGAAACGCTGGCAATTCCGACTCCAAATCTATTAGCCTTGCACTGGGCAACTAAACCGATCGTCTGATAGGGAAACATCAATGTTTTAACGCTGATCTTGCTAACAATGACGACCATGAAAATGACGATGATTTTGGCCCGTATTTATAGGAGTACACATGTCTTAATCCATAGGAAAAGCAACTAGATACTTCACAATTCTGTTACCTCTGGTATTTAAGTCTTTTGAGCCCAGGTCACTGAGTATGAATGCTTTGGCTCAACCGATCAAAGGCAAAATTATTATTTTCGAGAGCAGACACCGTGATATTTTGCCCATGGCCTTGGAATTCAGCGTGCTAGGATCCGTCTACGGAAATCAACTTGGAATACCGTTTCCGATTCGATAGTTTTGTCGAACACTGGTGAAAGGAATAAGGCCTTATAATAAGGCCTTCGCTGCGGAGCCGTTTATTAGGAAACACCAACTGAACAGTTACAGACCATTGGATAGGGAAGCAAAACTCTCATATGCATCTTGTTTGCAAAAACTGAATATTCATCTCCTCCTTGAACGCGTCTTCCTGAACTCAAATGCAAGCAAATGCTATGAAGCGACCCCACAATTTCTGTAACAGATCTCACTTTTCAAGAAAGGCGAAGCGGATTTACGAGAAACCATACTACTGGCATACCCCATCACTAGCAACCACCGTCACATTGGTAGTCCTGTCTGAAGCCACAGATCATGTCCATTATTAATTTCTTCATTCTATGAACACATGCGTATGCAGTAATAGTAGGAAGAGAACGAATTGATTCAATAGAAGAGACCACAACTTAGAGGTGTAATGTTGACAACATTGAATAATTCAGTGGAAACGATGTACAAAAAAAACAATCCGGGGTATCATTTTTCGAAGACTTGGGTTTCAGGACCTAATCACCAGGTCCTTCTATTTTCGATATAAAGCGGGCGGAAACAGGTTAACTCGGGTTCTACCAAGTAATTGATGTGTTAATTAGTCCCATTTGGATGTTGAAAATAATCTTTCCCTTTTTCGTTTCTGTACGCTTATTGGAATTTTATCCCCAGGTTGAAAAATACGATTTCTGCTAAATCATATCCGTTGTACCATTATCCTAGCATTGGGCGTAGACGGCCTCTGTATAGACATACTGAAATGTACGTAGATCACACGTTATTGTCTGCGTTCCAGATGAACAGTATCCAAATTTTACCATCGCGTCAGTTCCAGGGTGCATCGGAAAGTTTTCCATCAAGTGTAGTGCAGAACTGTGCTTTCTAACTAAAATTATTTTTCAAAACAGGATTATTGCTTGTTCCTTTGGTTTCATGGATTGTACTCTATTTCGCATCGTATAATCCCACAGGAAAATAATCCCAGTCAAACTTTACTCTTCGAGAATCTCATTGAGTACATGACAAGCGAGTCTGTACAAGTTCTGGCACGTCAATTAACAATGTGGCGCCTGTTGCAAGATCCTTGTCCTGCAAAACGAAGTCGAACTGAAGGGGGAATGACTCACCAACTCCAAATGATCTACACAAGATTACAAACTATGAATGGGTTAGATAAAGGTAAGTGACTGATCTCCAGTTTGCCCTAGAAAGGGTTTTCCGACTTTACTTGCTGAATGCGTCAGATTATTTTCCATTTACTTGTCTATGGTGGGTCATCTAAAGAATTGAATGAAATAAAGCTGGCATCATTTATGTGTGAAATTTGTTCATATCCAGATATCAGAGCAATGACCAATCCGTATCACAGGAAAGGAAATCCGCTTCAGTATTTATCTTATACTAGATTATCATCAGCATTGCATGTCCTGACCTAAAAAACGAACATTTATGAGAGCTACGGTACGATAGCATGCGCGAAGTCACACCGGAGTGCGTGCGCTTGTTCCCATCATCATAGACTCATCCTGGTGGACCGCTACTCACACTGTGTAAGATTCTATCTTTGTCACAACTTCCGTAGCTGTCATCAAATACAATTCTGAATGAAGTCACCGTCAGTTCCTCAAGCGTTATTTCGCTCAGTCCACTACTATACGCATCAGCCAATCCGAGTAAACTGTTCAGGTCTTGTGAGGCAAATTCCATTCACTCGGTATAGCCGCAGAACCATAGAACTACAACTGATTTGATGACAAATTCCGCGCTTAATATGCATAATTGCCCGCAGTGTTTTCTGGTTAAAAATGGAGTAGAACCTTTCCATCAAGTCAGCTCATGGAAACCTTTATCTGAATTTAAAACCAGTCATATCTTTCATCATTACTATACTGCTAATGAGCGAAGCGAAGTTGTTTCTGGCTAGAAGGTGAGCGACATCATTAGTAAAGAAGCCGAATTTTACAGAACTGAACGTGAAATCAACAAAAAATGGTGCCTAAGTCCTATTTCTCCGTCTGCCTTAAAGCTCAGCCAACTTTGTACCCTTTTACTCTAATTGGGTGACATTTGTGCACATGAGTCTTTCTCAACGATTGATCAGTGTGCATTAGTACCCTGTTGGTGACGCTGGTGGGTAACACAACCTGACTACAATAGTCTTTGCTGTCTTTAGGACATTTTGTGGGTCACTTTTCATTGATTGGGCGGCACTTGACAGTCGCGCTGAACGAATGAGCTAGATTCATTTGTTTGTTCTAATCGATCAGCTGGTTGGTCAGTGCACTGGTTTCATGTCCAGCGTCCCTGAAACGATAAATGCTCAGTTAGTCCCAGAGAACGGATGTCAGGTATCACGGATCGTCTTACTGGGGATGCTGGAAAAAATTACCGGATAAATTTTGAAGACTTATGTCAGGCAGTTTACTTTCGTGACCTGTGCCGAGCAGGCGGAGTACCTTCAGCTGTTGTACGTTAAACACCTTCCGGAGGAAAACCGCAAGTATGATAATTTTGAGAGCCATTTTGTCCATGAAAGGTAACTGTATGTGGAGAGGTATACTGAGGGCTGAAATGCCTTGTCTGCTTTTTTGCTCACTACGGCCTCTTGGACTTTCACTTAATATTTTCTCTGGGTATCTTCTCTTCCAATCAGGGTCATTGTAATTAAGATCATTAAGGGGGATTCAGCTGGGTCCCATATGACTCTTCAGCAAAAACGAAACGGTATGCAAACGAGTGTATTAGTTAACTTGTAGATGTTGACTTGTAACGTACTGTAGAAACTGATGGTAAACAAATCAAAATGCCACTCGAGAACCACTTCCCAGCTGTACAGAGGTGTGACTAACCGAACATCAAGGTGACCAGACGAATGTGTTGCGGACCGGGATTACTGGCCAAGTAGTGCCTGATTGGTCAGTATAAGGGCCAATCCAAATCGAGCATCCCAAGGTCAGCACTTCTCGTCTCACCACAAAGCTCGACCTTGTGGGAAATTCTTCGATGATCCCCCTTGTATCCATTAAAACTTGTTTCAGGCTACAATGACTTTTGACATACTATGGAAGAAACATGACAGCACACAACACCGAGTGTTTTAAATGAGGAATTTCGGCCAGCGAACCACAACACCTGGAAATTCGTCTGCACATGAGTGTATTTCGCTAACCCCTGAAATCGTTTTCCTGATGCTTGTATTGAGTGCCCGAATAGAATTTCAACTGAAGACTCTCCATTCGTTGTTCATGACTTGTCCTCAGAGTTATCTGAGAGCATAACACAGGAAATCAGTTCCAATTAATGTAATCCCAGAAGTCCAGAAGAACGTACAACATTTCTGGAATGCGAGAAAGCGAAGTATTCCTCAGGGCTATCTTGGATCAAATGTCTTTTAATCTAGAGGCGACTCATGTGTACGAAGTTTCTAAGTAGTCATTGATCATCATCGTCATCAGCATTGTCAGCTGTAATAACCGCATACTCGTCGTACAGTGGTTGCAGCTGCCGCAGTTTCGTTCACCGATGATTTTGGGGAAGGGGTAGGTAGCTGCGCATTGCAGGCGCGAGCTGGTAAGTTG